TATTGTTAGGGTAGTATTAAAATAATTAAAAAAAAAGTTTGTTAGTGATGCATATTTGAAACATTTAGTACACATTTATTCTATTTATATGATAGTATTATTAATTTCAGAGTTGATCATCAAAAATAATTTAAAATAAAACTGCATTGTTTCTATTCATTCCCACTGATAAATATTTATCAATTTATGATCGAGATCATGAAGCGATTGATGTTAAACCACCACTGAAAACCGGGAAGCACTGGACGGCTATTTCGTCCTGTTGTGGGACCCCTCAGCAGTGCGCATCCATGATCCCGCTTGTGGGATTCGAACCCAGGGACTTCAGTATCACACGCGTACGCTTAACCTCAATGGCGGTCTAACATCAATGGGTTCATCATCTCGATCGAAAACTTACCAATCTCCACAAGTCTATACTGATATATACTAATTTAGATGAAGTTTTGTTGTCTCAGTTGGATGGTTTGATCATTGAGTTTTCATTGTTCTTCTGAATAAATTCACGTAGAAGTGGAGTGTTCGAATTTCTCCTCATATGACTCACATCTTATCCTGTCGATCTCTATTATGATTGGTTATTGTTGAGCCTTAACCTGTCATTATCTACCTCCTTATTTTGATTGTATCGCCCTTTGATCTGATTATTGGTTTTATATTTGTCCTTGATTTTTTTGAATGGTTACAACACTTCATTTCTGTCTGAAATTTTTGTTGATGATGTTGTTCAGATAAACACTGAATGCTTCACAACTAAATCAACCACCTGAGCTACAAATCTTCTCTACTGTTTACAAATTTACATTAGCAATTGTTCGTGGAATTCTTGCAAAGATATCTTCTAACTGAAAATGAATATATTAGTTGTGTGGCAATTGTTTTATGAATGTTAGTATTCAGTCATTAATAGAATCTTAACAGTTACTAAGCACATAATTATGAAATAAGTACTGTAAGAGTAAGAGTATAGTTGCATTATCATTTCATTAATAAAGTGAAAAGTGCACATAAACTCGTTAAACGAAATAATTTCGATTGTATATGTTTAAAGTATAATCAGTTAGAATCATCTTCAGTTTTCGCTTTGATGAACAAAGTAAATTGAGAACACTTTAAAAAGCAATAATAAATCTTAAAAATAAACTTTAAAATAAACTATTGTACTACTGTGATAAATGCTACTTATGTCGACATAAGTAGTATGTAACGCCACTCAGAAGTGGAATGCCTGGCAGCAGAAGATTAGGAAGAACGAATTGAAGAGAACGGGAACAGAGGGTAAATGTTATGGCAATGAAGGAACGATGAAGTGTGAGACAATTAATGGAGGATTCGCAAATAAAGTATTTGCTAATAAAGTTTTCACCTTTGGTGAAAGAAATTTGTGATTTTGTGCTAAAATGCGATTAGTCGTTCTCACATGTGTTCTCGTTCATTATAATACTACTTTAAAGTTTTATAGAGTTTCCACCCTTGAGAAAATAAAGAAAACTCATGCTCAATGAAAGAGCCGTTATCCACAAGGCAGAGTCACATTTGTTTATATTATAACCTATATGTGGAATACCAGTATAACCAAAACGTTTTTTCAAAGAGAATGTGTTTTCACTTTGAAATAGGATGTGTATATGTAAAGTGGGTTAGGAAGAATTTTATAATGGATGGAGAACAATGAACTGCCACTTTGTTGACAGTTGTGGATTAACTCTTAAATGTATTAACATGATTGAGGAAGGTAGTAAAGGCTTCAAATTTTAACTAATTACATATTCAGTAAAAGCTTCTTTTTATTGATGTATTTGGCCTACAGTTATATTGCAGAGTTTCTTCGTTCTTAACTTTTTCTATAAATGTTTATCATGCATATGAAAGTTCCTGTATTCTGCCTATACTATGAGAATTAAATAACTACTTTGAAAACATATTTTCTTATTTATTAGAAGTATGCGATCTAACCGATGTACTTAAATTTATCTGTCTAAACAATAAAAGTTAGTTGGTGAGTTATTTAAGAAAACACTCACTGACAAAATACGCTCCAAACTTCCTACGTATTTTTTGTAAATTTCTGGGATATTTCAATCAAAATATAGGCCTTTTAGTATTCTTACCCACCTACTTGAATACGGCGACAGTCGTAGTAACCATTTCCTTCGAATCCAGTGCGACACTGACAGCTACCATTAATACAATATCCATACTGGTGACATTGAACATAATCACATGGATCTATATCAGAATGATTATTATAAGTTACAAGCGAACACTTAAGTGGATGAGTGGTGTTTGAAATGTGCAACTCATGAGTAAATGGCACCAAGGTAGTATGGCAATATGCAATGTTACATAGCATTCAAATGAAATTCTAGCATAACTTATCGTGCTATAAAATATTTTATATATTGTTTCTTTGAAGTATTTATTTTTAAAACAAGGTAAATTAAGTTATATTTTATAATTAAATAAAATGGATTATGTATAGAGATAGCATATGTTTTTATAGCACACCAATTTTCTATCTTATATGATGTCAAGAATATAAACATGCACACATATCTTTTGATAAAGTAGCTGTATGTATAGTCAATCTCCCTGCTATGAATCTATATACAAATAATGAATCCATGCGTGTTAGTGCTTCATCATTTTCTTTTAACTTACCATAATTACGTGGTTTACAAACATGATAACCATCACCATAATAGTCAGGCAGACACTCACAGTTACCATTTCTGCATTTAGCATATGGATGACACCTAACCTCAGAGCATGGATCTTGTATAATAATGTTTATGAAAACAAAAATTAAATTTGAACAAAATATGGATTGTATTTTCAACTGATTTTAAATGTTTTATTTGAGAATACGGCGAGCCAATTAACAACAGATTATGCACTAGGGTTGAGACTATTTGAAAGGACGATGACTATGTTTTCTTACATCATTTCTAGCTGTTACTTGAAAACAATCTCAGATCAAAATAATCCAAGGCCTCAGTACATTATTTTTTTTTGTTTAAAAGATTCATGATCACTAAAGGGTCAGAATTTTTATTAACATGGAATATTTTCTTAATAAACCTTAACTGACTAAATAGTGCGGAGCTTTAAACATCATGTGGTTGCAGTTACGAACTAGAGTAGATTAGAGGTACAATGTCTTCCTCTGTAAAAATTTATTTCTGGTACATAAGCTTACTCAACTGTTTAAGCTTAGTGAGTGTAAAGTTTCATGTAAATAAGATTCACTAAGAAAAAACCTTAGTAGTTATCGCTATTCGCAAATCGGCAATGCTAATTGTAGTATTTCAGAAAAAATGTTATATTTTAATTGAATGAGTCATTGTTTTTCGTGAACTTTAACCCTGAGATAAAACTAGGCGAGGAGTTATAAGCGATCATTGAGAAAGTAAATTTGATCAAAATCAAACTTGAAAAACATAATTATAAATTCTAAGTAATCTTAGGAGTTGTAAAACACCAAGTTAGAAAAGTTATCGTATACAACAAATAGATGGAGATGAGTAACTTTGAAACAAACTAAAATCTGGTCAAATTTATCTCTAAAGAATGGAAGTAGAGAAGAAAGGTATCAATTTAAAACTTATAAAATTGTAATATGAGAACCCTCAGCAGTGTATATCTACAACCCCGTACACGTAACTCAGATGTAGGACGAAACCGAAGGTCCTGGGTTCAAATTAGGCGTATGAGATCGTCGATGCGCAGCGCCAAGAAGTCCAGTAACAGAATGAAACTAATGTTATTCACTAAACATAGATTATTACTTCAAAGCTCCACTCACCATCCGATAACGCTGGATCTTTTTCGAACTACTTTCTAAGGAATAATCTTCTTAACCATGGTAGGTTAAGCATGTTGATCAGAGATTATTTGTTAGATGTATGATTTAAATAGATATAATTAATGGTGAACGCTTGAATAGTATTAAACTTCTTTTTTTCGATCTGGATAAATAAGTATTTAGGATATTTATTCATTATAAGGCACATGATCAAAGAAATTTTTGATGCAGAGTTTATAATATTCATGATGTTAGTTTGCCATAAAATATATCATTGTACTGAGTACAAACATAAGATGTCAAAAATGGAGTGTAGAAGAATAATATGCACGTCTACTATGTTCAGTATCTTAAAGACAGGTATTCAATAAAAATAGATTGAATAAAACACTTAGAAAATCTCTGCATAAATTATTGTTATACAGTTGAATTTAGGAAGACATGCAGACGTACCGTGGTAATGCAAAAAATTAAGTGTTTCTACGTCAAATAATAAATAAACTTAAGAATTTAGCATTTGAGATTGTAGTATTTCTTTTTAAAAAAAACAGAATGGGAAAGGGCATAGTCGGAGTTTACGTAAATGCACTGTTTCAAAACACAATAACAAGCTGTGTGAAGATGAAATCACACGAAAGGAATGAAAAAAGGGATAGTCAAGGGAAACCAACTTACCGTAAACTTCAGGCTTACAATCATAATACCCATCACCTTGAAAACCTTCTACACAATGACATTCGTTATTATAACATTGTGCATTTGGATGACAACGTACTTGAAAACATCGATCTAATAAAATGAGAGATGTTATGTATTCTGGCAAAAATAATCTATCTCTCTCTCTTTATATATATATATATATATATATATATATATATATATATATATCACCCCAAGAAACAAATATTAGAGAGATCTTCGTGACTATTAGTCTCAGATATTGACTATAATGTGTATTATAGAGAGGATTTTTATCGGATATGATCAAAAAAGTAGCTAAAATCCCCAAGTGAAGAAAAAAATATTGATTATGCAAATAAGACATAGATAGTATTTAATTACGGATATTGTAATCAGAACTATGTGATATAGTGACGCAATATGTCACATAGGTCTGATGATTTTGTCTTCTTAGTACATTACCCAATTTTATCAAAGGGGATTAATTGTTTTACATTTAATGTCGTAAACTCACCTCTTTCTTCATAACATTTGACAACTGGGTCGCCAGTATAACCTGGTGTACAAACGCAAGCACCATCTTGACAGAACGCTTGTTCTCCACACTGAATCCCTTCACATAGATCAACACCACTTGCTATACATACACCATTTTCACAAATCTCATTACGACGACATTTAGAACATGGATCTATAAAATAAACAATCGATTTGGTAAATTTTTTTTCTGATAAATAGTGGATAACACACTACGTAACGGTATTATGGAGTTAGGAAATATAAATAATTTACGATTTTGTTTTCGTTTGTTACATAAATTATCTATTTGTTTTTCTTCTAAAAGTACAAGTGCGGGGTATGCCACTTATGTCTGTCGACATAAGTAGTATGTAACACTAATCAGAAGTGGAATGCGTGGCAGCAGAACGTCAAGAATATTTAATTGAGGCAAACAGGAATGTAAACAGAGAGCAGTTTTAATAACAACAGAAATGAAGGAACGATGAAGTTTGTAAGAGACAACTGATGGAAGATGTGCAAATAAAGTATTTAATGTTCTCTACACTGGGACTCCTTGATGACATAAGAACTGCTGTGTCACAAATTCATTCATCTACTGATTTGTAGGCAAAACAAGAAAATAATGAGAATCGAAGGGAAAGTAATTAGATCCTCCTATGCCAAACATAATTTGAGAAAAACATTTGTGGTAAACTTCATATTCACTTCTATAAAAATTTCCTTTACTTGATATAGGGCAGTTAAAGTTTCCGTATTATTATTAATCATGGAAATTTGAGGAGTATATAGTAAAACGTTTATTCTTACTAACCTAAAAAAATCGAAGACAAATCAGATACACTATTATGCAAGGCTAATACTCCTGGGTATAAAGTACGAATAAAGTAACCCAGGGAACGTTTATTCGAATCATACAGTTATGTAGATATTTTTCGTGATCTAATGTCTTTTACCATTTTGTTTAACATAAAAAATTAGAATGGTGTCAGTAGATTTGAAAATGTTTATAAATTACATTACGGTATTTCGAATACATGCCACTTCAGGGTTAATCATTAGACAAACTTTACCACCGTCAAGATTCATAATCAAAAGGATCTCAGACAGTAAGTGGAATTTGTAGGCAATCAGGAAGAGATTTAAACCCTCGTTTAGTTCTTGCTGGCATCACTAGCTATAAGTATTATTAACCTTAGATATTTCGACAGTGAATCATTCACCTTTAGATTAACGTTAATGACCGATTATTGAAAAATGTCTAATTACCATACAAAATAACTCCTATCATATTGTTATTATAAGTAACTTCACTCCATACACTTAACTTGGGATATTTAGTTTATTCAAATATTTCTTGCTACAATCACTGTATTATACAAATACTTCATCTGATTTGATGGTAGATTTTCATTGGAAATAAATACAAGGATTTCACAAAATATCATAGTTTTTTCCAGTTAATATACTACAGCCCACTTATCGTTCGGGAAAATATATCAAATCGAAGACAGAATTCGAAAAAAGGAACAAACCAGATGTTTCAAAATAATAATAACAATGTATTTCCCTGTCCTTAGTTCAATACATTACAACGAAAGGTTTGTTAACCTCAAAGGTATTAATTATATATTCTAAGAAAAGATTACAAATTCTGTACAGATTTCACAAAAGTAAGATTATTTAAGGTGAAACATGACATGATTCGTCTCTAATTATTTCATGCATAACTTCTATGAATAATAAAACCTTTAAAATAATATTACACATGAAGAAGTTTTTCTTAAAGGGGACAATTCATTCATCATAGTATGACTATCTGTAACAAAGGGAACAAATACCCTCACAAATGTGGTTTTAAAAGCATGATGTTTAATTCAGTGACTTACATATAATCTATTCGAATGATCATAGAGTGTTTCTTAATCTATTTGTCTTTTAATAAATCATCAGGTCATTTTCATTAGTTGAATTAACTAAAAATTTACTTTTTAAGCAAACAAAATTAGTTTTACTTAATACTGTGACCTAATTTGGTTACCATCTTAGTAAAGATTTAACAAAATGACATGAAAAATTTATTGTTTCGCTTATTCAAACACAGTAAGGGATTTAAAAGACTGTTCACATTACGCTTGCATATGCTGACCTATAATTCCAATGTAAACATTTAAAAAGTTCAGAGAAGGGATCTCATTTCAACGAATTTATTATCAAGCTGTACAATCGTATATATATGTAAAAATCTTATATTAAAGTATTAGTTTCATGAGGACATATGAACAAGGAATAAATATGATGATGCAATAGAACAATTATGATGCTTGATTAAGTAATGTGACAATAACAATAAAACTAATAAGCTATCAACGAATTATAATGTGAATACAGTAAGATGATTAAAATGTTTTTGTTACAATAGTTGAAAGTAATTAAAGGTCATATAGGTGCACATTTAAGTTAAGTTATATCAGAAACAATTATGAATAAAATCATGAGAATATGAGTATAAGTATAGGGAGAGGGGAATAACAAAATGGAGAAATTATAATAACAGTAATAATAGATTAAAGCCATGGTAACGATAACGATAGAACGTATTTCTTTTGTATGAACAATTCTGGCTTGAGCTAATGGATAGCAAGAGCTTCTGCTATTTTAAGGAGTTGGATACGAAGAAATCTATGTAGATTTGTACGAATTGTATACACAAATTTTAAAATCAACCTGTGAATCGATAGAATGAATAGAGTCGATCAGCTGTCCAATAATAGAACTTCTAACTGTTCTCCTCCCACCCCACAGGGATATGTTCTCGTATCTGAGTTGAAAGCGAGCGCTGGATACGGTCTATGTACCTAGCTCCACAAGAGCAGGTGACTTGGTAGATGTATGATATATATATTCAAATGCATACAATTGTGACGTTACCCTTAGTTTGTTACGTCATTCTTGGGACTCTTTCAATTGTTTTGAATAAATAAGGATTATTATCACAAGAGATTTTAGAAATTTTCACAGATTGAAATCATGAGTCAGTTGAAGCTAGACCAACATGGAAAACCTGAAAGCACTGGACGGCCGTTTCGTCCTAGTATGGGACTCCTCAGCAGCGCGCATCCACGATCCCGCGCCCTGCGGGATTCGAACCCAGGACCCACTGGCTTCGCGCGCGAGCACTTAACCATTAGACCACTGAGCCGGCATCCGACGGTGTTAATGTCTAACTTCAACCAATCCACGAAGTTGCGCCACCGTATAGCATTGTCTTTAGTGAGCTGATATCTCACAACAGACCTGGTTTTAATCCCGCGGGGTGCGGGATCGCGGATGCGCACTGCTGAGGAGTCCCATACTAGGACGAAACAGCCGTCCAGTGCTTCCAGGTTTTCTATGGTGGTCTAGCTTCAACTGACTCATGATTTCAACCAGTGATTATAGGTATAGTTTGAAAGATATTTTGTGTATGATATATTTTACGTTATTAATGTTGTGATAACAAAATAAAATGCTTTTTATTATCTCGTTGAGTAGAAAATTGAATATTTGAAGTCTAACAGCTTAGTGTAAGTCGCTTCTTTAAAAGATAGATAGATGACTGAATGAAATTACTAATGAACTTATTAAAGTGATGGTTTATGCTGAACCGTGAAACGTCAGAATTTCACTTATGTATAATGAAAAAAACAAGGACACAGAATTGAACATTTTAATTCATTAGCTTCACATCAGCTGTTTAAAACCTATAATATTTTAAAATCAAAATGATCGTGAAGTTTATATACTTATAACAGTAAAATTAAATATGTACCACCATGGTGGAATAGCGATTCCAATGAATGTTCGACTATTTCGTTAAATAACAAAGGAATTATCTTAGCTCGATGATCTCTTGTTATTATATCTGATGATCTAGGATCTTCTCTCAACGTTCTTTATGTCTGCAACCACATTACATTTATTCAAACCACTATTTTACCACGATGATACATATTTAACTGTTATCAGTAAGCAAATTTGACGTTAATTTTGGTTCTAAAATATTATAGATTGTAAGCAGCTGATGAGAACTTAATGAAATAAAATGAATTCATGTTATTCTGCTCGATTACTTGTTCTTGGGAACTAAGTGTATGAACTTACATATGTGTTATTTCAGTTTTAATCAGTACACACTACACCCAACACTCAGTCTATTTGAGATGATCAAGCCAAACTTTACTAATGATACTAAAGTTTGATGTTTTTTGTATTCTCGGAAGCCACTTAGTACAGTTGAAGTAGGTTGGAAGAGATCGGCTAATTTTATTTCTTTTAAGGTTCAAGTAATTCAAGCGAAGAATATTATCAGATTTTGGTATTTTAAAGAACAGATATAATTTACATGAGCTTACGGTTAATTCATTAACCGATTGAAGATATTTAACTAGGTAATATGTTATTTATTGGATGGTTCACATTTCTTAGGTAGTATTTTAAAAGAAACAGGCCAAATTCATTTACAAATCTGTGTTTCTACGGATTTTAGGGTAACACCTAATGGAAAAAATCTAAGGAAAATTTATGTGCTAAAAAAATGCTAAAGAATCGTAAATTTTCATTTGCAAAAATACAGTCAAACAGAGTTCAACAATATCCCTGTCTAAAAGATAGATGATTTAGTTCACAGTTCAAAATCTAGGGATAATATTGAAAAAGTTTATTCTAATTATTTTTAGATGATCATTAACCAGAATGAAAATGGTTGGGAAAAAAAAGAGAGTTGGCGATTTCATACTGTCATTACGAATTGTATCCCACGATATTTGAAGTTATCAGGGTGAAACTACATAGATACCATTACTAAATTTGATGTGGATCTTATAAATAAATGTATATTGCTTCATTATATAACTACCTACTATCATTCGGTAAACATTGCAGTTTGTTTCATGGCAAAGAGATCCAATTGATGATGGTTATTTTAATTGAATAAAACTTTTTATGATGAATGTTTTCAACTGTTTCAATCTGTGATAAGATGTCGTTATTTGGGAGTGAAAAACATCGTCTGATATATTTCTCAGGATAACAATTTCGAGTTGGTTATTCCATGTAAATCTGTTTACTTGGTTAGATGTAAATATTATGGAAGAATGATGGGAGGTTTCGAAATCGTAGGTAGTGTAATAATAATAACTATATATATATATATATCAGAATGGGTTTTGTGGAGATTTTTAGAAATTTCACAGGTTGTAATCATGAGTCAATTGAAGCTAAACCACCATAGAAAACCGTCCAGTGTTTCCAAGTTTTTCATGGTGGTCTAGCTTCAATTGACTAATGATTTCAACCTGTAAAATACTTTTTTATCATAATTATTTCCCTCCTATTTATACTCTTCAGATTTGCTAATATGAACTTGTTTTGCAATAAAGAGTCCGTAGGAAAACATTCAGATATACAATGAACACATAAACATTTATTATTACCATAATCACTTACTTATTTTATAAACTAATTAAAAAAGTATATGAAAACAATACGATGGAAAGATAATAAATTTTGGTATATAGTAGACATACAGATGTGTGAAGCAGATGTTGGAGAGACAACTTTCAATAAGTAGCTAATGACTTACAGAAATTCTCATGTACAGGGTTCTTCTGCTTCATAAAAAAAATAACGTTCAACAGATGTCAGTCTGATTAATAACTTAAACTATACTTTTAAATACATTTTTGGTAAGAACGTATCTTACATATTTTCATATATGCTACTAGCATTAACAACCCAAAGCTCTGTTACAACATAGATATATAGGGGTTTTCTGTTTTGTATTTAAAGGACGTTAGATAAAATAATTCACAATGTAATAGATTTTTGCTTAAATTGTATTGATGAAAATATAGGTGGATAATTTAAATCATGGATTGATATCACACAAAGAATATAGAGCACTAAACAGATGTTATACTGTAAACTGGTGCTCTTTACAAAATGTTAGGTAGTCGGAAAAATAGACCAATAATTATCATGTTAAGTCCAATGGTGTCCTTGGACCTTAAATGTACATTTCCCATTGGTCGATATTTATTTAACGTGTTATTTTCCTGTTGGCCAATATTGTACAATGTTATTTTCTACTTTGTGGTACGTTGTGGTCTGCTTGACTAGTATATAAACAAAGTATGTTTGAAATATAACGATTCATAACTCAGAGGCTGTGACTTGTGTTCTTGACTCAACTGGCTAGGACAGACAGCGGAGCAGGGCCAATCAGGACACTAGGTCGTCCTTACGTGTTTACGTGTCCACTGTCACAGGAGCGATCGATAATAACGCTGCGTATCATAACCTGCAGTCCACACACGTTACAACACAAAATATTGCACATAAACAAACTTAAGACAATTAAGTATTTCAGTGACTATAATATGTTCAGACTCTCAAAGCCGGTAGTGTGAATATCTAAATTTCAGATATTACTTGATGATAGATATTAGCATCAACGTGTTTGTTAAATATGCACGATTAATAAAACTGATCTGAAGATAACTGATCACGAACTAACACCAACCGAAAAGCCGCTGAGTATTATTGTAAATTAGACACTGGGTTTTTTATTGTTACACTGACCGATGTGGTTTCTAAATTAAAATCACTTTCGAAATATTTAAGATCTTGATGAGGTAACCTTTATAAATAATAAAATCAAACAGGAAAAGATGACATTTGTGAAATATATTTTAAGTAAGTTTCTAGCCCGATTTATTTACATAATGCATCATTTAATATGCATTCATATGAAAAGTGTTTTGAAGAAAACAGGTAGCCCAGAGTTCCAAACTCTGTTTATCTTTCTCCCTTGACCTTTTCCGTTTTTTCTTCGCTGTAGTTTTCGGTGCATATTCCTAAAATACGTTTGATTGGGTGTTTTCGAAAGAAGTCCAATAAAAATGTGGTTAGTATAAAGAGAACGATTGGTCAATCAATAGTTGGAAGATGAATTCATGAACTGATGTTAGCCATTGGAGACAGCTGATAACTAGCTGTGCACCAAGATCTTGAATTATTTACGACTCATCAGAAAAGTTCATTTCCAACTTAATGGGAAATGGTGCTGTCAAGTGAATCAAAATTCTCTCAATCTCAGACTTTATTCGTTAGCTATGCAATCTGCTATCGGCCCTTGATAAAGATGAGATGTTTACACTAATTAGTAAATAGTTTTATGTTTATACATTTATGAGTATTTATCAGATTTTATCGGCCAAGTTCTCGTATGTATATTAGTCTTAGTGACTCGACAACCTCAAGCAAACTTCCAAATTTTTACCTAGTATGATCCCAATCTACTATCACCTTTAACTTTAGTTTGTATACATATTAGGAGACGAAAGTAAATTCTGTTGATCCATCATATCTATATTATTTGAATATATATTTACTATGATCATCTATATGACATGTTCCTATATATATATATATATATATATATATATTGTATCGACCAAATCGTAACACTACACGGCATTGTGGAACAATTAGTTGAATGGAATTCATCACTCCACATATATATGAGATTTCTATTGATTATTAATGAAATTGTTATAATTAAAATAATGCCGATATGAGTTATGATTTAAAAGTTATCCAAAATGTACTCATAAATACGATTTTCCATAATTTAGACACTGATTCATAACCTTAACTATAGCACCATTAAAAAACTTGGGCGCCATATGACTACTTAATAGAAAAATATCTCATACATATACTTTATGATAAAAGTCATACAGAAACAACATTATACTGAATTATAGATCTTTAATATCTTTTTCCATTAAGAGATAAATACATATTGAACTGTTATTTGTTATAGTTAGTTAATTTTACACTCGGATAAATGATGTATTGTAAATGAAAACTCGACTAGATGTGTATTAATAAAAAAAGTATTAAAGTGATTAGAACCAATTGTAGAGTTAATCACTTGCATCATGATTACTTTTAGGGTAGTATTAGGTGAATTATTTTATTGTATCATTTAGAATACATTGTAGAATCATATCTATTCTCTCATTTCTTTTAATAAATATAAATGTAACAGAATGTATGAACTACTATAAATATTTATTGTTTTAACTGATATTTGTAAATTTTATAATGTAAGTGTAATATAGTATTCATTTTATTAGCAGTTAATTACTGAAAGTGTGTGTGTGTGTGACGGGGGGGTAAGGGTAATTTAATGATAAAGTATTACTCCATTATTCATGGTAATAAACGTGGATAATTTAGAACCAATGAAAATCTTATTATTTTATGATTTGCAATTATTGAAAGAAAAACTAACAGATTGTAGAGAGAAAAAAAAGAAACAAGTGGCTACTTTACAACTGTTTAAATGATTTCTCATAGTCAAACATGGTTACTCCAAATGAATTATAACACAACTGTTAATTTGCCTAGAGTTGCATTTCATTGTTTTAGCTTTCAATAGTTCATTATTAAACGATATTTTTTTAAAAATTCGTATAGATTTTTTAACAAAGAAACTAAAAGTCATTCAGTCTTTCATGAGATGCAATTCGAAATTTTCTAAACACAGCTTACCATGTATGAGATGAGTATCAATAATACACTTGAATAAAATCTGCTCTATTTTGTTGGTATCATCAAACAGAGAATCAGCGGAATGGAATTCAAAGATTAACAAGTGGTTTATTATTGTGCTTTGCCACTGATTTGGAAGATTGAATAATTTAGGTCAACATCACGTTTATCAGGTGTAAAATACTATTGAAGCTATAACAAATGCATTCATTAATTCTGTGAGACTAATTTTGTGCTACACTAAAACATAATTGGAAAATGTTGTATTCTGAAAGTAGTAATTTTGATGTATTCAACCAAATCTAAGTTATTCATTTGCTTTCAACCACTTTTTTCCTTCAGAAAATTGTCTAATTTTGCATAGTCTGATGAAGTTTTTTCAACTACTTATGATTAAACACGAGTATGACCAAGTATTTTTAGCTTTTTATTACATTTCTACGCTTATTTATACATGTTTTACAATAATAGTAAAATTATTACTAATGAATAAGTGATGCATCAGATGACAATACAGAATACCTGAAACTATTTAGAAAGATAGTTACGAATGATTCAAAATGTAATCGAAATGATGAAGATTGATAAGGTTGTTACAGTGCTCAAAGATATTATTCAATAAATTAATTGATATATACGACGATAAATTTAAACTATTTATTAACTGATAAGAGACCCCTGAAAATTTTGTTCAGTACAATTCTATTTAACAAATACTTTTGATTAGACTTTGTTGAAACAGTGGAATGTGATTGATGGTATGGGATCAGTAGGTAGATGAGTATAATTTTGCATTAGTTACTAATTGGTAGTCAATTAGTGTAGACTGTGAAGACTAACAAAAAGTATAATAGATCTAAACAGATTTGTAAAATTTACATTTATTTACACTACCTTTTTTTCATTCTATTTTAGGTAAGGTTCCACTGTTTTAACCACTTATCAATTACAAAATCGATCAAATAAGTGAATTATAAACACTTTCAATATTAGTGCTTAGGAATAATTTGATTCTAACCTGATTAATATTACTTAATAAATATTAATAAAAGTATGACAATAATTCTCAGTGAACTGTGAAAACCAAACATGCTGAGGCCTGTATATGCAACAAGTGGGCTACGATATAGGGGATGAAATATCCTATTTTACATAAAAATACCTTATTAAACAACTGCTTTTTTTCCAGCAGTTGCACTTTAACAATTTTAGTTTTGTTAGTTTGGTAGAATAAGTATTGGCAAATGCATTAAGGTTTTGGGAGAGGATAAAAATGCGCAATGTTTTGTTAAGAGTATATTACATTATTATTAAAGTATATCTTACCACTTTCACAATGACTAACACCATCTCCTCTGTAGCCAGGTAAGCATTGACAAAACGCTTGATTTGGATCAATACAACGAGCATGGGTATGACAATTGACAGAACCACACTGTACACCGAGATAGTTGGTTACTAAAAAGATATGTATACTAAAGTTAATATTGATATTTAACACATTGAATTAATGAATACATCAAGTTTCAATGTCTTAATAAAAGTAAGTATAGTAATATGATACTAGTATTACGAACTAAATATCTTTGTTTCTTGTAGAATATATCAAAATAAAAAAAACCTATATTAGTCAACCACTTTATTGTGTGGATCAAACTCAAAAACATAAAGCTTTAAGCAGAAATAATTAATACTTATTACCGAAATATGAATGATACAGTATAAAGCCGGTAGAATTATTATTTAACGTAAATGATTACAATAAAATAAAAATATCCTAGCGAATAATTCATTTATTTGTTTGTTAATAGTTAACTTACCATCCACCAATGAAGTAGCTTCTAACACCAAGTGGAATCCATGAAATAAAATGAATAAACAAGATACAAATTTAAAACAGAAATATAAGAAAATTCTTTTAAAAAAGCATAGAAATATTATGTTAGAATATATTATTATTAACTTCTCAGCGAAGTAAAATATTTCGTCACCTTTCAGAAGATCCGATAAAGGTTTTGTCAGTTAAAAAAAATATTTTTCTCGCTAACATACTACTGACACTGTTCATCACTGATTTAGCAGTAGTATCACTAGTATTTGATAGCTTCATATTTTGTATCAATTCACCACTTTTAACAAGTTAATGGATAGCTTGACAATGTTTTTTCACTTGCTCAAGTGTATTTCATTTATGTTCGTTTTTTTTGTAAACCACAAGCTTTATTTGATGTATCGGAGTGCAATTGTTTCGATATAAAACTTTAATTTCAGTCGTAAAAAGATATATAGGAAACCAGATAAATCATTTCGGACATTTTGAACAAGAAATGAAAGTTATCAAATGCGCTAAAGCGAAAATAATTTTTTATTGATGTCATCTAGGGTAAGGATTTTTAAGGGCCATTTAAGATAATGATAATGTCAAATGTGTGCACAACATTGTCAATATTGAGATATATATCTTTTGAATTGTAATCAGAGGGATCGTAGAAACAGAGACGAATCTGTTGGGGGTTAAAGGTCTACACAGATAGAAAGAAGGGAAACAGATGCTTGTGAAAGAATAAGGCATGAATAAGATTGTTTGATGTCCAGCCTAGAAAACAATTAATTTCAAACGACTATTGATAATCTACACTTTTATAAAATGTACGTGGATGATGCCTTTATTATCTGTGACAATAGATATAGTGTGAATCATCCTCTGAAGACATTTAATAACTGCTACTCGGCAATAAATTTCACACGAAGTTGAAAACAAATAAAATATTCTCTTCCTTGATGTAGAGATGACACGAAAACATTACAAAACTCTGAGATCTATCTACAAGAAACTCTTGTGGAATAGCCAGCTTTCAAGTTTCACAGCGACTTTGAGAATAGTGTCCTCCAGCCGATAAATTCTCATCAATAATCTTAAGAATAAATGATTTCATTTGACCGATTCTGTGTGCGTTTATCAATTTATCTGTTCATATGGAGCTAGGTATATAGGTTTTTCAATGAGTCTTTTATTCAAAAAAATTCGTGAACATTAACCGGCTTGGCCGAAAAGAGGTGGAAATGGCTCAATAAGAAGTCCGATAACCGGACACATTGTGAACACAGGTCATCCACTCAAAGTGGATTTCACGTTCAAAGTCATCTACAAAGTAAATAGAAAGCTGCCAAAGGAAGTTATATTCCATCTTCCTAGTATTGCTGAAGCACTTGCTAGACATCTACAAAAACCAGAGTTCAGTGTCCGAAAGAAACTGGTACAACTTATTCTTCTACTATGGTCTTAATCTCTTGTAAATCTTTTCTTTCTTGATACTTCTTTCACAGACATTTTATTCCTAAATGATTTGTCTTTTTGATCCCCCAGATTACAGTTCATCTCAATTTCAACATCTTATCTTATCACACCGACCCTTCCGTTCCCAATTATAATTTCATTATCTATCTTCATGCTCTCAGCAACAAAATTATTCCTTGACTAATATTCTCCTAAAAATATTTCTTACAGAAAAATGAGTGATTTATATGTTGGTTGGAATTATAATGGACATTTTGACCAATAATTTTCAGTGTATACTCATACTAGTATAGGTAGTAACAAAACACCGGATCCTGTATGCAGTAATTTTAGATGTTTTAAATGTCAAGAAATTGTTTATTTGTACACGGATTGAGCGAAAGATGAAACTTTATTTATGCTAACGATTTTAAATTATTTCCGTAAATGATAATGCGAAAATACTAAAATATACATCACTTGTTACGATATGCTGAACTTCTACTGTTTTGACATCAGTAGGTCAGTAACAGGTTTACAATTATTTTTTATCATCGTTCAGCTCTATATCGTATATTAACCAATTCATATTACTTATTCTTGATCAGGAAGTTCGGTAAGTAATTCGACATTCAGAGATCAGTTGTCTAAGGTTCAGCTTGATGGGTGATTTGGATAGGGCTTAGTAGTATTTCAATGAACCTACTGTAGAAAATATATTTGCTTTTACCCAGAACTACATTAAAAGTGAAGTTTATTGAACTAGAAATAGGAGTATCATAAACCTTTTTTAGATGTACTGAAAGCACTAAAAAATTTTACGAAATCGAAGACTAATACAGACAGTCATGACTAGTGTCACTAAGGTTAATAACCAATTAGGGTATCTTAACTAAGTCATTCCCTGATTCTGACTAACTACGTTTACTTTGATTTGACACTTCAAAATTGTCGAAATTCAAACTTCCAAACACAAATTAGGGCATTCTGTCTTATTTTGTTGATTACTGATGTTAGTTTTAATCCCTAATTAACTTAGTTACTAACGCCCGTTACTCCCGATGGAGCATAGGCCACCGACCAGCATTCTCCAACACACTCTGTCCCACTCTGAATTCCTTTCCAGTTCTATCAAATTTTTGTTCATTTTTCTCATGTCTGCCTTCATTTCTCCGCACAATGTGTTCTTTGGTATTCCTCTTCGCCTTTGACCTTCAGGATTACATGTGGGGGCTTGCCATGTGGCGCAGTTTGGTGCTTTACTCAATATGTGTGTGTGTCCTATCCACTTCTAGCGATTCTTCCTCCACTGGAATCTGGTTTGTTCTCTCCCACAATAGGTTGTTGCTGATAGTGTCTGGCTAACGGATTCGAAGTATTTTGCATAGAAAGCTGTTAATGAGCACTTGTATCTTCTGGATGATGGCTTTCGTAGTTCTCCAGGTTTCCACCTCATACAGTAGAACTATTTTGACATTTGTATTGAAAATTCTAACCTTGGTGTTGGTTGACAACTGTTTTGAGTTCGAGATGTTCTTCAGTTGTAAATATGCTACTCTTGCTTTGCCGATCCGTGCCTTCACATCTGCATCAGATCCACCGTGTTCATCAATCATGCTGCCCATCACATATGTAAAGGTTTCACATCTTCCAAATGTTATCCGTCAAGTGTGATTGGATTGTTGCATGCTGAGTTGTATTGGAGATTCTTGCTTTTCCGTTTGTGTATGTTGAGACCTACTTCTGCTTCTGCTGCTGCTGCTGCTGCTGCTGAGGCTACTGCTCTACTGGTCGTCTTCTCCTGCATTTGTTGTTACGTATGCGGTAGAAGAGGCAGATCATATGCTAATTGTAGATCGTTCAGTTGCATTCTAGCTGTCCACTTTATCCCATGCTTCCCTTCAGATGTTGACGTCTTCATGATCCAGTCGATCACCAGGAGAAAGTGGAAAAGTGAGAGTAAGCAGCCATGCCTGATACCGGTCTTTACCTCGAACGAGTTTGTCAAGTGTCCTCCATGCACAATTAGCTTTAATCCATAGAGTACTGTATTCTAGTCGTCAATATTTACCTGAATTAAAATGTCACGTTTATAACTGACTGTGCAAGATGCTCCAAAATACATGCGCTTTATATATTTTCGTTTCGCATTAAAAATAGAGATTACATTCCAACTTCCAACTTATATATATCCCAAGATATTATTAAATCCGATTTTTCATTTCCCGTTTACATGGTTTTAGTTAATGGTCTGGGGGCTAAGACCAAAAAAAAGCATAACTTACCTTGACATGTATTGTCAGGCATTAACTTCAAGCCCTGACCACATTCACATCTATAACTCGCGCCCTCTGGTCGACACACTTCACCATGACGATCACACGTTACACAGTCACAAGGACCTGAAATTGCATGAATAGAATTTTATAAAAAGTTTAAATAAAACTTATCTGGAAACACATTAAACGTCATAGAGTATCGCATCAAATTTAAAGTAACGCAAGATGGATTAATTCAGCTTAGCGAGTCAAAATTAAATTAGATTACTTTTAAAATACGAACATGAGTTTTGATTCAATTGAACTTTTTCGAAAACCGATTTATACATATAAATAACTGATAGAAAGGAACATCTTAAAATGAATAGTTTTTCTACAGGGCAAACTGCTGCTTATTCTCAGAAACAAATGAGTTACAATTCCTTCAGTATTCCACCATCATAATTTACGATTCACTGCTGAATCCACACACTAATCAATGCTAGACCACTATTGAGACCTTGAGGCACTAGAAGGCCGCTTTATCCCTATAGTGGGGCACCTCAGCAGCTCATATCCAATACCCTGAACTCGGAAGTCGAACCATGGACCCAGTGTCTTGCACAGACGCTTTACCTATAGACCACTGAGCATTCAATGATTTGATCTGTAACAATCCATGAGCTTGGTCAAACCTTCATTCGTGCCTTGCGGTGGGTAACTACCTCACACCTGACACGGATTGAACTCTACCGATCCCAGCTTCTCACTAGAACTCCAAGAGTTACATAATGAAGTTAGTCACTAGTGAGCACATGATTGTGATTAGTATGGGTGGATTTGTGAAGAATGTAGTATTTTCACTCTTGAAATTACAAAATAATCTTAATTAGACTACCTTTAGAAATCGCGATTTCAAGAGTGAAAATACTGAAATATTCGCAAATCCCTTATACTGATATTCTAATCATACACTACCATCAGGAATCCTTTTAAATTTCCATATGTTCAAGGCTTCATCGAATTTCAAACCAATTTGATTGTAAGTCGGAGATGACGTTCAGCCACTGTGGTATTGTATATAAACAGCATGGCAAACGTCTTTTGAAGCCATAGTTATACAAAAATTGAATCCACCTTGAATGTTCGGAAACTATTTATACTTACACCATACCCAGTTTGATTAGACTAGTTTAATTATAGTATCCAGAATTATATAATTAACGTCGTTTTTTCTTACTGACATTGTTTATTTTTATGCTTCCACTTGCTTAGCTTCATCTTTAGTTCTCATACAAGAATCTCAATAGGTTATTATATGATTAAACTATAAGAAAAGTGTTGAGTTAATATATTTCATAGGTCTGTTAAGCTTCGTCTTCTCACTGTACAATATGGTTTAATCCAAGCGACTAATTGTTGTTAATCCCAGTAAACCTTTATTGACTATTTTTGTTGTGATATAATAATAACATTTGCCTAGTAAGCATTTATTCGTTCTATTCAATGTCATTTATTTTCTAATTTTTATATAAATTTTGATCTAGATGAAGTTTATTAATAGGGTTCAAATGAACATTTTCATATTCAACAATGTCGACATTTTCTCACTACATCTCAGATTTATGCTTTTATATCACATCACACAGAGACACTGGTAACATTGATGTATAATATCCATTTATGTTAGCGTAGATGTGAAATTACATCAGCTTATCATTGGATAGATTTTTTTCCTGAAAATTTCATGACTATCTGTGATTAGATTTGTAAACGGTCACATCAGATATTATACTTTAAGTACTTGTAATGAAGTTGGTGAAAGTGGACAGAAGTTAAATCACGAAGACTATGAAATTGTGCAAAACTTTTTTTATAACACAACTAAAACTATATTAATTAAAACATACTTGCTTTAACAACGAATTTTATTTAAACTTACTTGGTTCTGTAGCTAATAATAAAGGTTCGTCTACACAGAACAAATTACATGTGCCATCTGGTGATGAACAATCCTCACTACAGTAACCACGATCTTTGAGACGAATATAATACGATTTATCCCTAGGTATAGAGCTGACTTGTTTGAGCAAGCAACTTTCTGACTCAGCAACAGCAGACCAGCGTACATTAATTTCTTCAGGAAAATTACTTATTTCATTTGAGTCACGATGCTCAACAATAAATTTAACAGTTTGCTCAGGAAATACAACACGGCCATGATCATCAATTTTATAATTAGCGTAATACGTTTTATCTGGCTTATCAGAAGCACTGTAAGCCTCTATATAAGACTGATCGAGTAGGTTTAAACTTTCTGTACTGAACGCCTCTAACTGTATTACACCACTGGCGTATGCTCCTGTTGTGAAATCGTGTAGCTGAAGTACGGCTTGGATTGTAAATTTCCCAACTCTTTCAATATCAAACTGGAATAACACTTTGAAAGGACGTTGTAATCCATTTCCTAACGTGAAAAGATTATAAACACGTTCACGTTTTGGAATATTTTCACAAGGACTAGAAACCATTGAATTTAAAATATGAAATACAGGTGTAATTAAACGCATAGTTGAATATATTCTGTCGTTTGTTCGGCCACCACGAATTCCGCTAGAACTGCGTCTTAGTGAACCATGTTGAATATCCAGATAGATAAGCAGAGGTGAACTGGTATTCTCAATACCAAAGCGTGTGGTTAGGGAACCAGAAAAAGAAAATTTATGATCATTGACTGAAATATAAAGAGCGAAGGAAACATATATTATACAGTGTACAAATATTTATCATGAATTTGTAATGTACAAAGCAAAACAAAATCTTGAAAGATTTTAGCTTTCATTTTCAATAAAAGCCTACTTATGTACGACATGAACATTACTTCATAATATATATTTACATATTTTGTCTTGCTAGTGTGTCTTTCTTTACGATTAGTTTACTACAAAATGTTCCTAGGTAACGAGATGAGTAATAAGGATACCATAATACAAACTACATTGTACAATAAAGACATGATGTAGGTTTTATGGTTGATAACTTAGTGTTAAGAGTTATTGATATACTCAGAAGTCTGATAAATCTAAACTACGACTGACCCATCCAAAGATCTTATATACATATAAATTTGAAACCAATCAAGTAGTAACTAAAAACAGCTTTCTAGTTAATTATTGTACGATAATATTCGGAATGCTAAACTTATATAACATTGTGGAAGTTTAATAAAGTCCAATCCTATGTCGATAGTAAACTTCTTTGACAAATCTATGTAAATTTTTAAATTTAAATGAAAGTCAACGGGAATAACTAGTAACTAGCATTCAGAAGAAATATTCATTTATACGCTAATATATAAAGAATACTGATAGGTTTACGTCATTTAATAAAACTGATGAACACGTTCAGTTGCTTGACCAATAAACAGAAGTCTGGAGCTATTTCTAAAAGGCTACGCAAAGAGAGAATAATTGAAATGACTATCAGTGTTAATTCATTCAACAAATTCAAGAATGCGCATGGTGTAGCTTCGATAGATCCACATTTACAATGATGGTGGAAACAAATACATTTTATTGTTACCGAAATCAGTGAGATATTATTCCTCAATTAACATTAATCCTAACTCCAGATATGCACTAGTTGTCCGAGGATTGTATATTCAAACTGAGCAATTTAGGTATATTCACTACTATCCACAAGTCAGAGGTTTCAAAAATGTAGACTATGATCAATGAGCCTAATAATAAAACACTATATGAAATAATTTAAGCTAGTTAACTGAAAAACGTGATCCAGTAGGGTTGGATTGTAGTAACTGATTTCCTTGCATTTTTCACACATTATCAGAACTATTGATGTTAAGATCAATATAATTTACGAAAATATTTGCTAGTTTTTGTCACAGACACATCAAAGCATTGTAGAAATCTAGGGTAGTTAATTACATTCTGACTGTGTATCCTAATTTTTACGAGTAGTTAGTGATTTGCAAACTTCATCGAAAATTTTGAGATTTCACCTTTCAATTTGAGATTATATTTATTTAACCAAAATCTACTTCAGCTGTGTTAAGAGTTGGAAGTTTGAAGGGTGGTTACTTTAACGATGGACTTTTACCTGACAGTTGTTAATTCGAAACCTCTTGGCTCAAAATTATTATAGTGTCATGAAAATAGACGTCAGAGAAGTTATAGGCTAAAGTAAAATAGTTGTGTGACGTGATGAATAGACAAAATTAAATTTTGTTACATTGTGAGTTTTGTTCAACATAGCATTTGTTTTTAAGTCAATATGATGATTATTTGTTTTACTGATAGGGTGATATTTTACCCACTATATGATAGATTTATTTAAATATGGTATTTATTCAACCGGGTCAGTTTTGAGACAGCAACTCATTGATGACAATGGTGTGTGTCGCTCAATTTCGTGGATTAATTGAAGTTAGAGATTGACACCAGTGGATGCCGGCCAGCTCAGTAGCTAAGCGCTCGCGCGCGAGACTGATAGGTCCTGGGTTCGAATCCTGCGAGCGGTATCGTGGATGCGCACTACCGAGAAGTTTCGCAATAGGACGAAACAGCCGTCCAGTGCTTCCAGGTTTTCCATGGTGGTCTAGCTTCAATTGACTCGTGATTTCAATTATTGATATAAATGAATGTATTTCCGACTAGGGTTGTTGCGTTTTGAAGGGGTTAATTATTCACTCGTACCAGTCTTTTGTGTTCATATTTTACGTCTCGGGGATTTTAATGTTTCCTCATTTTCAAGTGTAATAGGGAGACGAGGGTATAAAAAATATCTATCAATTTGTGCATGGTTTAATTACCTTTACAGCTGATGTCGGCTTAAGATTTAAAGAAACACTATCATATACATTTCACGAGGTCACTTGAGTTTCCCAAATACGTATACAAGTTTTTAAACATAGATAGTCCAAGGAATAAAATTTATATCGAAAACCTACTAGTCAATCAATCATAAACCTCATCAATCTCGGGTAGGGAGTGAAGTACTTTGCCTTCAATATGATTCTTAATGAGGTAAATCAAGTTATTTCATCACGTTCCGATAATACTTTCAGATTTTCACATTAGAAAACTACTTTACAGGCATTTTAATACAAAGATTTGAAAACAAGTCTAATGGGAAAACTAGTTCATTTAGATTTGACTACCGAGTAATGATATGAATATCAGCGCAAATTTTGATCACTACTTTGCTATTTCGAAAAATTATTAATATCACACAATCAGATTAAGTAGTATGTAAACTTAAACATATAGTTATAATTACAGACCAACTTTGCATTACATAACAAAATGCACATATATATATATTTTCAGTAACAAGTCTTTCTAACCTTCGGACCAACACTTGGCATCTCCTGCACCGTAAAATCCATCACTGCATACACAGCAGGCAGAGTTGTCAACTCGATAGCATTCTGTGTTATGACTATTACATTCACTAACAGCATCACATTTCACCAAACTGTTTGAAAACGTTTCATTCACGGATTTGTATTCTCCCTTATTATCTGTTATATCTTCTTCACCATCATCGTCATCACGCAACGGGTGTATAGTGACTGGTACAATAAGAGCTGATGTAAAATAAACCAGTATGTCATATTATATTATATATATTATATTATATATATTATATATATTATATTATATTATTACATTATATTATATATATTATATATATTATATATTATATTATCATAAATTCATCATTTATGAATAAACAAAAGCATTAGGTATTAGTTGGTGAATAAAGTAAACCATTTAGAAAATCAGTTTATAGCCGACGAAAGTAGGGACGCATCCTAGTATTAGAAATAATGAACATAGTACTTGGTAAATTATAATAAATTTGTCATAAAATCAATCTCATAGGATTTTTGTGCACAGCTATAAATGAACCGAAATGATTCAAATAGAATTCCATTTCAAATGAATTTCTCTGCTTATATTTACAGTTGTTATGGTGAATTAATTAGTTTAAATATACATTCACCATAACAGAATGATAAAGTTATAGCAACTATCCTACAACCAATTTCGATGATGGTTAATTTTGGTTAAGCCCTTTCCTTAACTTAACAAATAAAATCATTTGAACAGGAACAGTTCGCATATTTCCTTGTATCGTTATGATCACTAGAGCACATGGCAGACTATCTAAAATGTTGATTGCTTAAGTATCACTCAATGATTCATCCTCCTCCTTACTTACTCACTTGCTTACTTACTTACGCCTGTTACCCCTCGTGAAGGAGCATAGGCCACTTACCAGCATTCTCCATCCAACCCTGTCCTGGGCAATCCTTTCTAGCTCCTTCTAGTTGTTATTCATCCTTTTCATATCTGCTTCTATTTCCCGACCTAATGTGTTATTTGGCCTTCCTCTTTTCCGCCTTCCTTCAGGATTCCAAGTTAGGGCTTGCCTCGTGATGCAGTTTGATGATTTGTGTAATGTATGTCTTATCCATTTCCATCATCTTTTCCTAATTTCCTCTTCAGCTGGAAGCTGGTTTGTTCTCTCCCACAAAAGACTATTGCTGATGGTATCCGGCCAATGGATGTTGAGTATCTTGTGTAGACAGCTATTTATAAATACTTGTGTCTTCTTGATTGTGGTTGTTGTAGTTCTCCAAGTTTCAGCTCCATACAGTAGAACTGCCTTGACGTTCGTATTGAAGATTCTCACCTTAATATTGGTTGAAAGTTGTTTTGAGTTCCATATGTTCTCCAATTGTTCTTCAATTCATCCTCCTCTCTATGTATATCTGTGCTCAAATCCTATTATTAGCCTTTGCCTTGCTGTGCCCTTATTTAATTTGACCATAAATTTGCCAATGTGGTTGCTCATATATACTTATTCACCTTTCCGCTTCAAATTCGTTCGGTGTGCTTATAGCGTTGTGATATACGTTATCCCCTAATGAATAGTAGTTGCCGCTTCTTATTGCCTTCTGATTTTAATCACCGTTGAGATTCATATTATAACGGTTATCGAACTGATCGATTACTAAAGCAAAGCCACTACAAATTCGAATTCCAGCAATTTACATACATTAGTTGAGCATGACAAATCGAAATCCGTTTTTTTTAATTTTACGTAATAAGTGGTGCTATGGATATCCGATTAGTATAATTTTTTTCATCATAATCATTTCTTCATTTCGTATTTGTGAATTATCAGCTATTTTCGGCGGCCTATTCTCCATTGGGGGTAACAGACGTAAATAAATAATTTATTATCGTTTCATTAATGGTTATCATTGAAAAATCCCTATTTATAAAAAGATTTACAATAACCACTGAAATATTGTTCTTTTTAGAGCAACAGTCTTTCTAATGAAGCATAATGTGAGTTAATTTTGATAGTGTTGAGATTTTATTAGTATAAAGTTTTGTAAAACTAGTAATTTGTTATTTCCGTTGAAAGAATACCGTTAAGAAAAAAAGTTGGACACAGATATGACGTAATTATATACGTTCTTATGTTATTTTGATTAATTTCTAGTCCTTTATCATATGTAGAATGAGAAGTGATTTCATCGTTTGGTATATATCCTAGAAAAATATCTCCTAGTTATTTACGAAAGAGATTAGGGTTCACAATTATAATAGACTTAGGAGTTTAAGAGAACAGATAAAATTGGTGCACATGTTGTTATAATGAAATTACAATATTTACTCACGTTCATGTATCTCTTGTCTTTCCTCATCTCCATCATACCGACCCAAAGGATAGTAAGTTTGTGTCGTAATTCTGTCTGTGGGTGTGTACTCTTTATTATCAACAACAAATTGATTACTCTCATGATAAAAGTTATCCCCAGTTTCATTCTCTGGTAGAATATTCACTTCATTTTCATCAATTGGATCAACACCTGAGAATTCAGTTTCATCTCTTAGGATATTCCATGCAGCTTTCGGTACATTTTCAGTCATTCCATAACTATAGTCATTTGATGAGACGTTAAGGTCGTAATTATCAAAACTTTCCAAAGCTCTTTTAAAACTCTGTGTTCTAGCAATCGGCTCTTCTGATGTATTGTCAATGTTTACATTTTTAATGACGACCGTATCAGATGGTGTTTCATTATTTGATTTATGTGAATGAAGTGAACCCTCACAAACACTTGTCAAAGATGTAACAAATTCACTGGCAACTGCACTTAAATTCTTAACATTTATTTTAGCTATATTTTCCGATTTGTATAAAGGAACAAGCCATTCTCCATGTAGGGCTATGTTTGTTTCACTATGATGAAAAAAAAATAAGATAAAAGGTTAATAATTCTGTTCAGTGACACATGAGTAATTTAAGATACATTTTTCATCAAAACCATTTCTGAAGTGTGGAATTAAAATATTGAAGATTAAATAGAAGAGTTAGTTTTCATTTATTAAACAAGGAAGTATACAATTGGGACCGAATAACCATCAAGTTCTTATTGTCTTCAATGTTTCTCCATCAGCTTATAGTATCAAACCACTCCACATAACAACAATAAAAAATTTCTTCATAGTGAGCATTTTGTCTAGCTAAGTGTTATTTTCAACATAAGTAATAAATTTTACACAAAAATAACGATTTACATAGTTTTGTAAATTTTCACACAAAAATTGTATTAACCAGAATCGTACTTAAGCATTAACAAAATTTCCTAGTTATTACGAAAGTCCTTTAAACTATCCAGTTACTGAAGGACCTTAAAAATTATACATTTACTGTTAAATATTTTAATGTATTACTTACGTTAACCATATATTTGGTTCTACAGCTTGAGAACTTCTTGGCAACTGATAACCTCCAAAAGGTCTCATAAATATACCAGATTCAGGTGGTAAAGCTAGATTCTCTGCGACATCATTTTCATTCCACTCAATTTTTATGTATTGCATGAAAGCGTAAGAACGGATTCCATTAGAAATTATTATCATTCCATACGTATTAGCCTGTTAAGTTAAAAAAAAGCCATAACTCAAAGTTAATTCAATACCATTAAACTTTTTAAATACGATTACACAACTAGTGAAAATTGTTTATAAGAAGTAATAAATGGCTTTAAGATTAGTCATTTAACAACATCTCTATCTGTTTAAAGATATGAAATGGTAGGGACTTATTTTTATGTCACATGTACAAGTACAACTGACAGTGTATTTTATGCACAGCTTTTAAAGATTATTTTATTTTCTAAACGACATTATGTCATATCACATCAACAGAAAAAGGTTTTAGTGAAAGAGTACAAGCAGAAAACGTAGATATGTACCACACAAATAAATGTTTATGTACATTTAAAAGAAACTATATGGCTCTATAAATCTATTCTTGCTATTCTTACCATAAGTGTTTGGTATGTAGCACGGAAAAGTGTTATATGAACTAATTCTGAATGTATTATGTGTCTAGAATCTATTAAGTTGATCAACTGTTAGAATATGTTTTCAATTTCAAATGAATTTATTAGGTGTGTCTTGTTTTTTAAGCTTCAATATAACTTCAATTATATCTTCGTAACTGATGTGATAATTTACTTCTATTCCACCTTCTGTATATAATTAGTTTTCTAATATTAATTGCTTTAAACCTATTTACGTGATCTAAAAACATTTCTAGATTCCAGTGATTTTGAGCGACTTTTTATAATTAAGCAAATGTCTTCGTTTAACTATTCTGTTTATGCTTTAATTGATCTCTTTTCTCTTGGTTGGTAATTCAAATTTGTCAGCTTACTTGAACTAGCTATGATTCTTAATGAAAATTCGATAGTAGGAGCTCAACATTTGAAGATTTACTGTGCTAAAATTATATTTATATCAATAACATCTTAAAAATCGTACGTAGAACAAGGACAAATGTTATTTCACTTGAAATATACGGCTTTTGTGCCAAAGTTTTCCAGTGGTCCTTAAACCATCAAACTTACATAACATTCTGTTATAATGAAAATTAAGATATTCTGGGGTTACAGATCTGTTTATTTTTTCAATGGTATCGTTATCTGACCTTCACAGTGATGTTTGTGTGATGTGATATTTACGGTCAATTAGAGATTTTTCATTTCGCACTCTTATATTATTCCACGTTGTAAATGTTGTGTGCAGTCAAGGTTTGCTGATCGGAGTATTTTTAAGGGCAATATAATATAACTTCATCTAAAATAAACACTTAAAATATTACTATATTGATCAATATTGAATGAATTACCAGATATTGAGCAATTTGCGACACATTCACAGGGTTTCAAAATAGATACCTTTGAAATAATAGCAGAATCATTGTCTAATACACTGATAACGTTTTTGCTCAACAAGATTTTGGAAGTTTACTTACAGTAATCTTTGAGCATGCTTTCTCTAGCTTAGAGTTTCTATCTTTCCAAGCCCCTAGTGCATACAGTTTGTCGAGTCCTACAGATCCTTTAGTAACAACACTGAACTCCCAATAGAGGACCTTCAAAGTCAGCATAAATTGTTTCGAAGTCATTAAAAAAATAATTGCTAATAAATAGTCATACTGAATGATACTAATTCATAAATAACTCATTAAAATAAAATCACAGAAAAAATTACTTTCTGGTTGATGAGGTAAGCGTTTGTCATGTTTTCCCACAGTATATGTACAATATACTGAGCTTTTAATTCAGATTCTTCGATATATGATAAATGTATAAACTTTATTAGACGATCTATTTGCATTCTCTCTACACATGGTAGTTTTGAAGGTGATAGTAAATCGATTTCCCTAAATACAAGAAGAAATACATTTTTATACGAAACAAAAGTTAATTTAAAATTTATAATATGCGTATAAATGTAGGACTGAATTGAAACAAACTAAAGTTTGAATTTTCTAATGTTTAGGCTTCCAAAACTCCTATATCAGCCTCAAAAGCTACTCTAAGGGTAATCCTAAGTGATATTTCAATCATTTGTTTTGCTAACAAAGAGCATGGTTTTTTTCTTCCTGCTTTTAACAGGGAATTTTATTGCCTGTTAATTCTAAAAGCATTTGGGTTCATGTTCTACCATAGTTGATCGGATTGTCCGATCACTTCCTGTTTATTTACGTCCATGCGCAAATTGGTTAATATAATGTTATTTATGAAACTTCTAAGCCCAAATGCGATCACGAGCTTAGTTTTGGCAATGATAACCAGTTTAGAAGTATAGTGTGTCTTCCAGATAGCTGTTTTAAGTTATTGTTACTAACTTATACTGTTTGATTTTCCTCAGTCTTGTAAAGTGATGTAAAATGTATTCGTATAAGCGGAAGTAAGAAGGGCTTTAGATGTTAGACGAATTTTTATCTAATTTATAAACTTTTATGGATGTCAGTTCAATCTAAGTTTTTTTGGCCACCATTTACTTATCTCTTTCAAGCATATCCTTAGTGGATTTTGTTTGAGAAGCACCTTACCAAGTGATGCTTACACTAACATGGACACAAACTGTAAACTTTTAAGGTGTGAGCGTTCCATATGTATTTCTTATAAACTGATAGTGTTAGATGTCCTTATAATTTCGAACCAGAATATATCTTAATGACAGCTTGGATATTTAAACGGTTGAATACGTTATTTTTGAATCACAGTGCACATTCAATACCGTATATCATCATTTTTATTAATAATAACTGAACTAAAACACCTTCAACAGAACGTTTAGTACAGTTTAACTCAATTGCAAAGGTGATTTAGGTGTTAGTAAAAACAACTGCTAAAACTATAGCATATAGACATTTACTTCCTATATTTAATATTTGGAAATTTAATTTAAAGCACTTACGTGACACTAATTCTTCCACATTTTCCATCATTCACTGAACTGAAAATGCTTAAATATCGTCCATCAAAATCTTGTAATCGTTGATTTGTGATACTCGTATTGACAGGATAATGTGATGGCAAATTATCATCAGAAATGCTATCTAGTGCTAGGAGACCATTTTTACGGATCTGGTAAAAGAATAATTAAGTATACAAATTCTCATAATTTAAATTTTCCAGTGTTTTTATGTATAATATTGCATCTTTTAATGTTTTGATATCGTCTTTACAGATGTAAGAATAAGAGCCTGATTATTTGTCTAACATTAGTTTTCAATAACTGTCTATGTTGAAAGAATAAATAGTCACAGAATAATCAATGTACTTCATGTGATCACATTTTGATGGTGAGCAAAATGAAAAATTATTATTAAGTTTTGAAATACGAAAGTTTTGAAAGCTCATAAACATTGCTACTCAAAGATCTGTTGATGTCTAGTTACTCATTTGTTTTTAGACAAAGGATAAGAAATTGAAGTAAAAATTAGTTCTGGAATTAAATCTCCGTTCTGCTTAATGTATCCTGTGAGCTGTTCAGCACAGTAAGACGAGTCTTCTGTTATGGTGTTTTGAGATCATATAGTTGATAATCATGGAAACAGTGTCTACGTTTATGATGAGTCAAAACCAAAGTTTGTGAATAACGTATCCAACAGTGAAAAATATTTCTACATACGTATAAATATTTAAAATTATAGAGTCATTGAAACACGGTTAGCATTTTCGAATAAAGTTTATATCACTGATGTGTGAATATCGTTTAAGCACATTTCTGAATATTTCAGGGAGAGTTTTAAGTAATGAGATGGTGATCTTTATGCGTGACTTTAAGAACCATTAAAATATATGTATAGTGGTGGTGAGGAAATATCGCTAGCCCTCACACATTTAATATTAATTAAATCACAACATATTAATTGGTATTCCATAGCTCAATTACACTGATTTAAACGTAGTATGTTGATCATTGTTTTTAATGCTTCTCTCATTCTGCTTCAAGGATTTCATAATCGAAACATCCAAAACAATCAACTTTCCCGAAATGTTTGCTCGAAAGTTTGCGACGATCGAACAATTCAAATTCTTCACTAAATTATCCAACATAAAACCAATTAACTTGAAAATATTTGTCAGGAATTTTCTTAATAAAATCAGAAATTTTCAAAGTTGCAAGGTGAGAAGCAATTATTCAGTCTTGGAATTGTATAAGAAAATAGTAATTTAATTGTACTTCCCACCATAGCTTTTAATTAAAATATATAATCTTGTCAAGGTAATCAGAACGGTCAGTATCGTTTACAGAACATACTAACTTGTCATTTTCCCAAGTTCGCTTACACAAACTACGCAGTGAAAAGGTTATACCCATAATACACTTAAACAATGGAATCATTTCTACCTTCCCTTCAAAGATTTTCTCAATCGATTAACTTCAATACATTTGCATCTTGGATCTCCTCTACGATTCCAAACATTGTCGTCATACCAAATGTTTTGCTAATAAGTGGTATAAGAAATCCAACTATTAAACTTAACATAATTTTTCTCCAAGCAAGTTAAACATTTGCTTTTGGTACAGCCTTTAGCTAACCAGATGTAATTGTAAACAAATCAAGTTCAAAAGTCTAAATTATCCAAGCCACCTGAACTTACGATGAGAAGCACTTCATAGTGTTCAGCAACAGTAAGAACTATGAGTTTGTTAATCAACAACTGTTGTGAACCGACTTTAAATTTCATTAGTTCCAAATGAAATACACCGATAATGTTACGAATATAAATTAATTCAGTAATTATCAGCGTTAGACTGTTGTACACAATAACACACATACTCGTGAAAGGTAAAAAGAAGTTTGAAATAGCTTATATTTTCAACTACGATTTATCATACGATAAGTCTTAAACACTGATTTGTAACATCATTATAGGTAATAATAAACCTCTTTTTTTCTTGTTATTCCGGCTTAAAATCTAATTTCCTTAGTGACAAAAAAATAGTAATTACAATGTCTTAGTTACTATTTCTACCCAATGTTGACCTTTTCTTACACGTATATGTTTAAAAAGTCACTAATCTACTGCATTTTCACCATATTGTATTTTTTTGATTGACGTACCTATAAATCTTATATTTCGGTAACAGTTGTTTGAGCTACCGGAGAATTATCAAATAGATACTTTAGAATATTTTAGGATTTTAAGTTACATTTTCTTGTGAAAATGTTATTTAAAGGATTTTGGTGACGATATAGTGAAGAAAAAAAACACTATGGAAAGTTTAATATGGGCAAAACGTACGGTGAATCTTTAATAAGTCAATATTTAAAATGAAGGGTTTTATCATTTTTAAATTAAATAAATAAGCTACCATTCTGTTCTATCCGTTTATATTCAGAATTAAATTATTTAAAGGTTTTCTATTTTCTTTAAAGTGAAACTGATCTTATAAATTTGTAGTGACCTACTTTTATCAAGAGAACGCGATTGGTTTAATGGAAACAATTATTATTATAACCAATTGTACCACTGATTGTTTTACTGTACTTGTTTGTTTAACTGTACTAAAGACATTCTTTCTTCCGTTGATTATGACCTTGCACGGATTCGGTTACGCTCAGTAACCACACTTGTAACCTGGCACGATCTCGGTATTCTTTGGATACCATGAGATCGCCAACGAATACATGTCCACTACGGCCATCAAATCCCTCCTGATATTTGGCTTACAGGGGATCTTATCGGTTAACTGGCACGTAGTCTTCCTGCAGTGATCATAACCAACCGTGACTCGACCCGACGCTACAAATTAATGATGGTTAATGTTCAGTGTATAGTTTTTTCAGAGTTGTAAACTTCATAAAGAGCTTATGTAATCCGGAGCCTTTTGGGCACTTCCATCCAAAATAATAAGACATCATAATTATTGTTGTATACTCGTATAAATATATATAGAAACTGTTTGTGTTTTCAAAAATGGTACACAATAATAAGGTGAACTTTGAATAGTGTTTAATTCATATTGTTATTCTTATTGAGACTGTTATATACATTTTGGCTCACAGTTAGTATAACAACAAATTATGATTAGATTTTGTTATCCGGGTAAATATTTGTCCAGTGATATGGTCTTATTTACATACTTGTCTAATATTCCGATTGGAATCAATAATTATTATTACATTAGTTTAGTAAAAATATAGATGCCAGTTTTTATAGTAGACAAACTCGTTTAAGATAAACTATATATCTTGATTACCTGTTTGCAAATGGGATCAATTGGTGTAGGACCCTAGTACTTTGACAGTTTAATACATGCTGTCTAAGTAAATCATATCATCTTTTAAAATCACTTTACAAACAAGTGGTTTTTGTTCAGATGGCTATTTAATACTATGAGACATAAACTTTTAGCATAATTTATAATCATTTGTTTATAAGGTCAATATATATATATCCATACTCGTTTTACCATTAATTACAAAGACTGATTCAACGTGAATTTATTAAATGAATCTAAGCAGGTTTTGTTGAATTTTAACTAAGTGAGAGTTTTCATTAAAGTTCGTTTGCTGAAATCTAAATGTTATTGTAGCCCTTTTTTTCCTAAATATTCAATCATTTAAGTTAGAGTTGCATTTTCTGCAGCAATAAAAAAATATTACCAGTTCAGTTGTCGATTAAAAACTTTCTGTTATTAGTAAAACACATAAGATCATTTAGTAACAAGACAGAATACAGAAGAACTTTAGTATTACAGAAAATTAGACCCCAAAATTAATTAACTTTCTATATGAGTGATAATAGTTAACAAATAAATTAGTAAAGTGTACAAAACTGATTGTTTCATTACAATCAATGCTCAACTAAGTAGTAAAATTCAATAAAGCTACCATTTCAATTGCCATTTATAAGTCTATCTTTTGAAAATATCAAATTGTTTAACATTAGATATACTATCAGAAGGGGTTTGTGGAGATTTTAGAAATTTTACAGATTGAAATCATGAGTCAATTGAAGCTAGACCACCATGGAAAACCTAGAAGAACTGGACGACCGTTTCGCCCTAGTGTGGGACTCTTCAGCGGTGCGCATCCACGACCCCGCCTCGTAGGATTCAAACGCAGGACACATCCGTCTCGCGCCAGGCGCTTAACCAACTAGACCACTGATCCGGCATCCAACGGTGTTGATGTCTAACTTCAGCCAATCCACGAAGTTGCGCCACCGTACACCATTGTCTTCAGTGAGCTAGTATCTCACAACAGACCTGGTTGAACTCCACTGGTAACGGCTTCTCACTAGAACTCCAGGAGTATCTTTTGAAGTCAGTCACTAGTGAGCACATGATGATTATTATCAGGGGGTCTAGAGGTCTAAGCGTTCGCGCTGGGTTCGGATCTTGTGGGCCGGGATCACAGATGGACATTGCTGAGGAATCCCGTACTAGAACGAAACGGCCGTCCAGTGCTTCCAGGTTTTCCATGGTGGTCTAGCTTCAGTCGACTCATGACGTCAATCTGTGAAATGAGATATACTCTCAAGAAAATTGAATTCAGGGTTATTATTTGTAATAACTACAAAAGTGGAATTGAATTTTTCTTAACCATTTTTTTGACTCTTAATAATAAGATTCAATTACCAAACCATCATTCTTTCGGGTGACTGATTTCATTTAATGAAGAAAATAGATATTAATGAATGACACCAACTTTTGTATCCTTAACTATTTGGTACAATTTTTGTATCTAATGCTTCAAATTCATAATAAGTGAGTAATTTTTTTTTAACTTAACAATCTGTAAAAGTAATTTGTATTCATGTTTATAATTATAAACGTGAAACCTAGAAATATACTTATTTTGATTATTTTTCAGTAGTGTAACTACTAAGACAGATGTTAACACCTGTTATGTAAAAGCTTAATTAGTATTGTGATGGAGACAAGCAGTAATTACTCATTGTGTACAATACTTGAAATAATCAATCTACAAGATGTGATGGTTACAAATAATATTTAATTTGTCTATGACGAATGATTAAAGGAAATATTCAGATAGATTAAGTAAATAGGATATATCAGTTTCTTTTTATTTATGGTAAGTTTGCAAAAAAAACCTACATTAGTACTAGATGGAAATGAATGTACTTAGTATCCTGACGATATACTGAAAAACTACCTAATCATTTAGAAATGTATCTAGGACTTAATAGATTATATGTTCAGTATTCGAGGTAAAGAATAATTAAATTCTGAATAAACTAGAAACATTTACGGTTCTAATATGTTATAACATGTTAAACAAATTACTGTTAGAATACTGAGGAGTAATCTCTTACTTGCACGTCTAATATATCATACTTATCAGAATAGTCAAAAAAAGCAATATATGCAGAGGAAAATAATCTTGTATGTCAATAGAATTAATTGGATGCAAACATTTTAACAAGGTAGTTCATCATATATTCCGGTGAAATGAAACAATGAAAAACAATCACGATGATCTAACTAGTAAACTTTCTTTACTTTCTATATTTGAATTGATTTTTGTTTATTATTTTCCTCTTAGTGTTGAGATGGTGTAGAAGATTTGTAGGTCAGATGGATGAGTTAGATGGAGTTTTGTTCTCCGAGCTAGAGTGTTTAGTCATGGGGTTTTCACTGTTCTTCCGAACAACATCATCAGCACAAACTTCAAGTAGAAGCAAAGTGTCAGAATTTTTCCACATTTGACTCACAGCTTGTTCTGTCAACCTCGATCCTCGTCTTGATTGTATCTCTTAAATTAAAGGTAGACAATGACAGGTTAAAGATCAACAATAACAAATCGGGTTTGAGGTCGACAGTAGAAGCTATGAGTCAAATGTGGAAATATTCGAACACTTCCCTTCTACTTAGAGTTCGTGCTGATGATGTTGTTCAGAAGAACAATGAATACTCCATAACCAAACATTCCAGCTCAGAGAACAAAACTCCCCCTGAGCCTCCTAGTCTTTTGATATATTGTTATAATGTTATATAGTCTGGAGAAATATGTATTCACAAGTATTCCATTCGAAAACAAATTATTTTTAGGGCTATGCCCTCCTAAACAATATCGTGACAAGAAATTTAGTTGACCATTCATTATTGCATGTTTTGAAGGTCTATCTCTGAAAGTTTAGTGCAGTTAAATATGTTTGAACAGTTTGTAATTAGTAATGCACAAATTTAAATAATTTAGCCAATCCGAGCGATATTAAATTTGAAATCTTTCTGAACTACGTAATAGATGATCGCAACAAACCTAAAATTCTTTAGTATTTTTCTTTTAAATGAAATTCGCCTTTGTTACATATTAAACTATTCCGAAGTTCCAAACAATCTTGATTCTTCACGTATTAAACTAGGTTTAGTATATATACATAATTCCAACAACTAGCGTCTAAATTATCATGTGCCAACTTAATAAATAAAAGGTTAGTAAGAGATAAAACAAAATTATGTACTGAATAAATGAATGATAGATAACAGTGGGATATAGGATGCGCATCTCTTCCTATTTAGAGCTCCTCATCTTGATGTACTCACAGCCCGACGTTGATTTTCACGCATAAACTGAAGCCTAGTACTTGACATTTCAAACACCTAACGCATTGTCCTACGAACTAGATAGTTCGAATGGTCGGTAACTTGATAAACTAGTATGATATTTGTTAGATTGCTAGAAGTCAGGATTATTCCATAGTTACTAACCATGAAACTCGACCAGATGGTCAGAAGGGTTCACTCAGGATTCACTACTTACTTACTTACGCCTGTTACTCCTAATGGAGTATAGGCCGCCCACCAGCATTCTCCAACCCACTCTGTCCTGGGCCTTCTTTTCTAATTCCATCCAATTCTTGTTCATTTTTCTCATGTCTATCTCCATTTCCCGGCGTAATGTGTCCTTTAGTCTTCCTCCCTTCCTTTGGCCTTAAGGATTCCATATGAGGGCTTGTCTTGTGACGCAGTTAGGTGCTTTCCTTAATATGTGTCCTATCCACTTCTAGCGCTTCTTCCTAATTTCTTCCTCCGCTGGAATCTGGTTTGTTCTTTCCCACAGTTGGTTGTTGCTAATAGTGTCCGGATTCACAAATGTCAACAAAGACTGACCAAATTTGAATCAAGAGTATCAACAATCGTACATTCCCAAACCTTTCTAGTAGCAACATAATGCTGGACAGTTATTTCATTGTATTTATCAAGTATTTTAAGCGTCATAAATCAAAACTTGGGATTAAAATCATTATCACCATTATCGCTGGTGAATGGGTAATAAAAAGAATTACTATCAAATTAATACAACATGTCTCATATCTTAGCGTTTCCTACCTTAAGTTAGTCTACTAAGCACTCAAAAGTACTTATTACAAGATTAACAAACATGATGAGTTTTTTAGGAGATTCAAAAGAGAAAAAATAATTATTATTAAACTGATATCCAAATATTATAGACATTATCTTCTTTTCTAAAATGACAATGACTTACAGTGATTTTTTTAATTAGTGTTTCATATATTGGGATCGGATATTGTAATTCATAGGTGAAATGATCTTCATCAAATCCTTTTGAATAATCATATATTTTAGTATGTAAATTATCATTTTGTGGTATGAATTGAAAATATGGATTTAGTTGAGTTAACCCATTTTGAACATCATATAATAATATTAACAGAATGATATATATACAATTTGTATGAATTTTTCCTATTAGGGTTTGCATTTCTGAAAATAAACTCAAAATAATCCGATAACGTAGATAAACTTTCAATAGACAATCATTCTAATAATGGTCAGTACTGTCTACCAATGCCTTTTGTGGTTATATATATTTATGTGTATTTATGTGTTGCACAAAGCATGTGTAACTACACTTGTATCAATCTAAACATATAGACATGTATGTCTACAGCCAATGTATAACCTTTGTTAGTCTATAATTATGTGCACTAATGTAGTGAATGATTTTCCTCTCTGATGATTAGTTTACCTTATTCACATCTGGACACAACAAAAGTAATAGTGTATACAATACAAATCTTATTTGATTTTACACAGAAATTTTCACCTTATAAAAAAAGGTCAAGTATAAAATAGGGTTATTTTTACAGGTGAAAAAGCCCAAACTTACCTTTACCTAAGTGATTTTAAAAGTAAAACCAATTACTTTATACTATCTCACTGTTAAGCCTTGTAGGTAATAAAGATTATTCTTAATAGATAGTTACTTACTTACTTACTTACTTACTTACGCCTGTTACTCCCAATGGAGCGTAGGCCGCCGACCAGCATTCTCCAACACACTCTGCCCAACTCTGACTTCCTTTCCAGTTCTATCAAATTTTTGTTCATTTTTCTCATGTCTGCCTTCATTTCTCCGCACAATGTGTTATTTGGTCTTCCTCTTCGCCTTTGACCTTCAGGATTACATGTGAGGGCTTGCCATGTGGCGCAGTTCGGTGCTTTACTCAATGTGTGTGTGTTTGTCCTATCCACTTCTAGCGATTCTTCCTCCACTGGAATCTGGTTTGTTCTCTCCCACAATAGGTTGTTGCTGATAGTGTTTGTCTAACGGATTCGAAGTATTTTGCATAGAAAGCTGTTAATGAGTACTTGCATCTTCTGGATGATGGCTTTCGTAGTTCTCCAGGTTTCCGCCTCATACAGTAGAACTATTTTGACATTTGTATTGAAAATTATAACCTTGGTAATGGTTGACAATTGTTTTGGGTTCGAGATGTTCTTCAGTTGTAAATATGCTACTCTTGCTTTGCCGATCCGTGCCTTCACATCTGCATCAGATCCACCGTGTTCATCAATCATGCTGCCCATCACATATGTAAAGGTTTTACATCTTCCAAATGTTATCCGTCAAGTGTGATTGGATTGTTGCATGCTGAGTTGTATTGGAGATTCTTGCTTTTCCGTTTGTGTATGTTGAGACCTACTTCTGCTTCTGCTGCTGCTGCTGCTGCTGCTGCTGCTGCTGCTGCTGAGGCTACTGCTCTACTGGTCGTCTTCTCCTGCATTTGTTGTTGCGTGTGCGATAGAAGATCCAGATCATCTTTGAAATCTTGATCGTCCAGTTGCATCCTGCTTCGTTTTGGGCACCCGGGCAGTATCACAGCCCTCACACATATCGAATGAGATTTTTGTGGCGCATATGTATTTGGTGCCTCCTTGTACCAATATCTATGTGTTAAAATAAATAAATAAAAATAGTTGCATCCTAGCTGTCCACTTTATCCCATGCTTCCCCTCAGATGTTGATGTCTTCATCTGAGATTAATAGATAATAATACTTAATAAAATAATCAAGTTGATTTCGATATATCTATCGACTGGTTACTTTTCATTCTAGAAAATCTTTCAATTTTTTATACTTTGTAGGTATACTTCAACAACACTAAACAAACTATTGAATGAAATGATACAATTTAGTTATCTTTATGTATATTGTTTATTTAAAAAAGAAATATGAATTATATAAAGAAGAAAACCATCTTTTGAATGATAGTGTATGCTTAATGTCCTACTTTATTTGTTATGATCAGAAAAAAATTTAAGTAACCAAAAAAACAATTACGAATTCACTAGTACACTTATCAACTAAATAAGTCATTTATATGATGGATAAATTCAAGCAAAAATCAATGTTTAGTTAGATGATTGTAACCAACAAAAAGCAATTATATTATAGAAATCCAATATAGAAAACGAAACTATTCTAAAGTTATATTTTTTTTCTACTTTTCTATAAAAATAGAACTAAGTAGATATTCATTTCTGATATAGTATTCATTTACTTTAAAAAAAGAGAGTGAAATTCTCAAGATTAAGATAATCTAGGTGATAACACTGTTTGACATTCCGGTTTAGAGAGTTAATTTCATTTTCGTATTAATATAACCTTTTTTAGTGAAGGGTAATAGGGAGTTTTAATGATGTTCAATACAGTGTAGTGTCGGTTATTATGTTAAGCCCATATACCTTATTCTAGCTTTCGGACAACCCATTCTATTAATCTTACTTGAGTCACATTCTGACTTTGTTACTTATTCGCTTATCAATCTTGATTGTTTTTATATGAGCGCGTAGGTGTGTTTACATTTCTTATCCCACTACTCATCACGTGTCTGTAACTTACTTTTGTGTAACTATAATTAATGATTAATGCTTGGTTAAATGGGAGTTGGCTTACCTGCTTCGTTCTATTCCATTGGCTCTATTTACAAAACATATGTATTCACAAGGCCATTCTCGTTATTCGACTTATTTAATTCCGTTATTGACTAACGCGATTAAAGTCGATGATTAGATACGAGGATAGGCGATAACAAACTTTCATACGATCTCCTTGGAGTCAGATCTCGGGCCACTAATGTGGAGAGCCCGTCAAAAAACATCGTCCGATCTAAATGACGACAAAATAAAGGGCCCCACAAAAACAGTTTGTGTTAGAATATAGAATGTTAAACTTTCATATCAACATTAATCTGTATATTTATGGTTTCACTTACTCTTAGAAATTATACAAAAGTTATTGAAAACCTTATGACACTGAACAATCTTACAAATACTACAACTTGTGAATCGTCTTGAATATAACATATTATGTATTTTGATATCATAAAAAAAGAGGCATACAAAGTTTCGCCTAAAAAATACATAGAATTTTAATACCAGGAGGGCTTTTTTGTGTATTTTATAGTAATTTTAGTAGTAGTACTGCCGGGGAGTCCCACAATGGGACGAAACGGCCGTTCAGTGCTTCTACGTTTTTCATGGTGGTCTAGCTTCAATTGACTCATAATCTCAACTACAAAAATACATAGAATGTTATCAGCGTAAATTTATCTACCAAAATATTTCAAGTGTAAATTGTATTATTTCTCAAAGAGATTGGAAAACGATTTCTTTATTTGAATCTTAATTGTTAAATAAATTTCATTTTATATATTTTTACTAGGAATCATTCAAAGGAAATCAGTTTTCTACATTTCTTTCAGCCTTTTAAAATATCACATAGAAAGCTTACCGATATGAGACACTTCAATGTTTATTTCTATTTATTTCAAAAAACTGAACAGTAAAAGGTTATTCTGGACCTCTCAATAGTGATTAGGTGGTTGAAACGTGGCTTTTAGGCGTCCCCATACCTAGGTTTCGTGCAATTTGCTGGTCATCAGGAATAGTTACCTGTAATCTTGGAGTAGCTTGTGATCCTTGATGGGTTTAATGTCAAACCATTCAGTTTCATTTTCTGAGACATTACCACTGAGCTACTCAAGCCTTGACTGACCTATGGGACTGAGGTACTATAACTGATTAATCATTATCGATCAACACTAGAGGATTAATCAAAAATGGTGTTGGTCATTATTCAGTGATCGGTTTACTGGATTAACTGTTGATTGAATTACTTCAATGTGAATTTCTGTAACACATATTTTGCACAATACACTATTATTGTAGTATGTAATGAATTCCTATCACTGATAATCGTTTTGTTTATAATTTATATTCTTTTCTTCTAGCGACTTCATTTGACGCTCATCATTAGAAGCACTACTTAATCGGTTAAAATTTACTGTAACCAATGGTCAGTAGGAATTTTTAGATTTATTAGGTTACATTTTTCACCCATTTCAGACTTATTTATTACAATATAATAAAACCATTGTAGTTTATGCTTGAATCTAAGCATTATACTATTTTGTATCTAATTTTGATGAAACGCATCAAAAAACGATATTAATAGATTTGTAAATCGGTATACCATAACCACAGAAATAAAAAATATTGTTCAATGTAATTATCAGCTATAATCTTACTTAATCGCTCAAATATGGATTTATGTATAGATTTATTTTATGAGCTACCATAGCACAACGGTTATTCCATTAAGTCCGATAATACAAAATACTTGAGAATTTATACCTTCTTCAAAACTGTACAGTAGATACCATGACATTTTAAGTTTCAGTTTGTAAAGGATAGGGAGCTAGGTGGCCTGTGTTAGTCCTGGCAATGATAGTCTCTCAGTCGATCCAACTTTCTATTGAAAATGTCGACAGATAGAAATTTAATCCCGTGTTGATTTAATGAATTACATTTAATGGGAAAGTCAATAATCAGCTTACAATTAATTTCTCCTGGGCTTGTGAACATTTTGGAGTGTCCTTGTAAATTTCCTGTTCTGGAAGACTAGAAAAATGAGGGCGTATCAGATGGAAATTTATCACTAAGTAATTTAAAAGCTGTGATCAAGTCGCCTCTGGTTCTTCGATATGAAATAGGTTTGCTTAGCCAGTCGAGCATCAGACGGGAGCTTTTTTATTACGGAAATCAGCTTAATTACGGTTCTTTCAACCTTTTCCAAACTCTCACTGTCTCTTTTTAGGCAGGTATTAGCCGCTTGTATCCAGTACCCCAGCTTAGGATGCACGAATGCTGCATACAAAGTCAAAAATTGTTTAACATAGACATGACTAATGGCCCTACGTATTGATCATAGGGTCCTAGAACCTTTGGCGGCTATCGCACTGAAGTCTGCAGTAGTTTTCAAGTCTTTGCTAACGATGGCTCTTAAGTCATTGTATGTCTGGACAGCAGTGATAACTTCCGAAATTTAAAGCTTTCAATTAATCATAATTTTTTAAGTTATTGAATTTTTCATACGACAAAACTTACGTATATCCTTACGCCTGTACTCCTCGTAAAGGAGCATAGGCCGCTCACCAGAATTCTCCATCCAACCCTGTCTTGGGCAATCCTTTCCAGCTCCGTCCAGTTGTAATTCATCGTTTTCATATCTGCTTCTATTATCCGACGCAATGTGTTCTTTGG